GGATGGGAACGTGGAGTCAGAGCTAAGCCTGGCTTCCCTAGTATCCCAGGCTGGTCCAGAGTGAGTGAAGGTTCCCATCTTCCAGAATCACTGATCCCTATGACCTTGTTTACCTATCTGGCCCTGTGCCTTCTAGCATAGGCACAGACCTTCCCTTCCTCTCTGAGCAACAGGGAGCAGGGTGGTATCTGTGTGATTGATCAGCTCTGTCGTCTCTGGTCCTGTGTGTTTGGGGACCCTCCCAGTGAGAGCAGATGGCCAGTATCTACCTCTCTGCTATCTCTCTGCAGCAGCTGGCCCCTGCAGGATGGGGGAGGCTGGGCTCAAGAGGGAATGGGGCAGCAGAAGGGAGGGCCTCTGTTGTTTCAAGGGAGAGAGAAGAGAGGCTGGCTGGGTCTGCATGGGACCTGAGGACAGGGCCTCCAATGGGAGAAATGAGGTTGCCTCTCTCCCCGAGAACGGGGACCTACAGTGTCTGCGGTCAGATCGTAAAGGTGGGGGCACGCCTCATCTCATGTCTTAGAATCACAGTATTCACAGTTGGAAGAAACCCCAGGGATCAACTAGCCAACCCCTCTCATTTGTAGAGCACCCCTAGCCCAGGGAGTTTTGGGTCACAGGTCACAGCCAATTTAGGACTACTGTTTCACCACATCTTCCCCTTTCCAGCCCAGGTTTTGGTTTGGCAAGTTTCTCTGAGATAGTTCTGAGTTACAGGAAGATGTAGTCATTTTTCTGTGCTCAGACCTTGGTAGGGTCAAGGACTTGGGTCATCCTCCAGGGAAGTTGAGGAGAGGTGTGCTCCCCTGAAGCCGGGATAAAAGTCCCTGAAGATTCTGAAGGGCATGTTAAAAAGGCTCATTCCCCCCACCACAGTCCCAGAGTTAGGGAATCCTTCAGGAGCACAGGTGACTTCTTTCCTTACAGTGTCATGCTCTCAACCTGGATGAGGGTCCCAGGGATTTGTAAACAAGCCTTTATTAAATGCCTAGGAAGGAGACCTGTCTGGGGGAGGCAGCCTTGGCTCATTTCAGGGAAGGGAGAGGGATGGTGGTGGGGCAGAAGCTATCATTTACATCACACTTGGAAAGCTTTTGAAGTGCCTGACATATGTTAACTCATTTGATCCAGATTTGGGACAGCTTGTATATGTGCATAGTAGAGAAGGAAAATGGCAAACCACTCCAGTATCTTTGCTGAGAAAACCCCAAATGGGATTGTGAGGAGTCGGACGTGAATGAAAGATGAACCAAGTATGTGCATGGAGGTTCTTGGCCAGGGTTCCAGGGCCGCAGGGTCCAGTTCAGGGTTCAGCAAACAGTCTGATGTGTCGAGACTGGAGAGTGTTTGAAAGGAAGGAAGGAAGTGGCATGAAATAAAGCTGGAAGACTTGACTTAGACTTGTGGAGGGCCTCATTCCAGGCTCAGGAGCTTGACATTTTATCCTAGTAAGCGGCAGTGAGAAATAGGTTTTGGGGAAGGGGGTGATAAGTAGTCAGACCTGCCTCAGAGCCCTGTGCTCACTGTTGATCAACTTTATGGAAGATGATTGGAGAAGGGAAAGGGACTGGAAGCAGAGAGACCAATTAAGAGCTGTTGAAATAAACATTTATTAAGTGCCTAGTGTGTGCCAGGAACTTTACTAGGTGGTAAAGATACAAACACAAGAGCAAATTGTTCCTGCCCTCAAGGAGCTTACATTCTTAGGGGGGGGGCCCCCCCCCCCCCCCCCAGGCACAATATGTACACGTAGAAGGTAGTTTGGGAACGAGAGCTCTTAAGAAGTGGGATCAGGAAAGGCTTCATAGACAAGTTTTGTCCTTTTTTTTTCTTCCATTTTTTTGGGTTAATTTAGTGGAAAAAAAGCAGTGAGGGGTATGATGCACATTTAACAAAAGTTTGTTTGGAGCAGCAGGTAAGACCTGGGTTCAAAATATACATATATAAAATGTATACAAAATATACATTATAGCTGCTTAAGCTTGGTAGTTCATTGGCTAACCCAGGCATCCCCCCCAGCTGTCCCCTAGATGATGGGATAAGAGACTTCTTTCTAGAGTATTTTGATTAATGAAAAAAGAACCTTGCTTAAGTATTAGAGTTCTGTTCCTACCCTGTCACCCCACCCTGCCCCCAATATCAAAGACTGGATTGCCCACAGAAGGGTCTTGCTTTTAGGTATGATTTGGATTCATTGTCCCCTTTCGGTATCTTTTAGCTCTGAGATTCAGTGACTCTATCCAGCCAGTATTTACTGTGCTGAGTGTTTGGGATACACAAAAAAGAAAAGCATTGCCTATCCTCAGGGAGCTTATAGTCTCCTTCCTGGGCATTAACAGCCTCTTGAGGGTACAAGGTTTGCAGGGCTTGAATTCTTTTGGGGAGGAAGGAAGAAAGAAAGAAAGATTACCTATTTCATCATTTCCATGGGTGGGGATGAGACTGCTGTCAGGACCAGTAACCACATCAGCCCAGGTTTCCTCCTTAGCCCCAAAGATATCCCTGTGTCCTGTCTCCTGCTGAATGAGCGATTTTTTTGGGGGGGGGAACGGGAGGAGTAACTTGGATGGCCTGATTAATAACCCCGCCTCTCAGCTGGTCTAGGGAAGAGGAGGATGGTCATGGGCAGCTAAGAGCTGGAAAAGGAAGATACTTTTGGGACTAATGTCAAAACTCATCCTGTATGGGCTAGCTGCATTTTTGGCAATTTGGGTGGGGCAGGTGTAGGGGTGCTCATCCAGAACTGTGACCCCAGCTCTTAAGATACTCCTCCCCCAACCATGTTTCTTCAGGGCTTCTGGTCTGTAGTAAATGAGATCAGAGGAGTGGTATTAGACCTATGTCCAATAAAATGTAAGATTCTTGTAGCTGAAGGCTTTCTTTCCCTTTTCTTGGTCTTTCTAGGGTAGTCAATGTGGTGGAGAAAGTCCTCAGTCTGGGGCCAGTGGTCAGATTCATATCCTGACTCTGACATTTATTATCTTTATAAGTTTGGCCAAGTCACTTAACCAATTGGGGGGCCGTTTTCTCATCTGTAACATGGGGCTGGGGGGGTATAGGTTGGACCTCTGAAGTCTATTTTAGCCCTAGATGGTCAGGTGATCCCTCGCACCTGACACATCATAGGCGCTTAATAAATGATTGTTGATTTGGGATTAAACAGCAGCATGGAGGATTCAGGGAAAGGCTATTTGAGTGGGTATCCACATGGCTAGTGTTCCAGTGCAGGCGCAGCCCAGAGGGTGCTCTGCAGTGTTTCTTTTGGGGAAGTAGACCTAGGCCAAGCAGAGAACGTCTTGGGGGGGCCAATGGTCTTTATTCAGTCAGTCAACAAACATTAATTAAATGCCTACTGTGTGCCAGGTGTTAGGGATTCAAAGACATGAACGAAACAGTTCTTGCCCTCAAGGAACTGATACTTTTATCATTGACAAAGAGCCAGGGAGCACTAGAAAGGCCTGGGGGCAGCAGGTTGGCCGTTGGCCTTTGGACAAAGTGAGGAAGGCTTTGCTTGGTCATAAGCTTCCTCATCCCAGACTCTCTACTGTGTACTTCCAGCCCCGTCCTTTGGCACAGCTGATGCTGTAAATGTAAATATAGCCAAAGGACCAGCTTGTGTATCCTCATTCTCTCAACTCCTGACCTACTGTACCCCTGCAACCGTGAAGCCAGCAGAGGCCTGGGGAGCTCCCCATCCCCACCCCAGTCATGCCAGGCCCTGATGCTGGCTATGTCATTCATGGCCCTCCATTCCTTGCTGGAGGGATCTCATCTGGGCTAGGGGAGCTACCAGGAATCCCACCCCAGATCAGACAGGACAACATGGGGCTCCTGTTACCATCCAGGATTCAGTCCTCCTTCCCCAAAACATTCATAACTAGCTGTCTGGGAATGTGTGGGGCTCTCCTGGGTTCCATGGACTGGCCCTGCTTAGCAGGAAAGTAAGAAAAAGATGCCCAAGGTTTAGTTTAGTGGATTATTTTGTATGTGAGCCTATGCATATGTATGTCTGCATGGTCTTACTTTCAAGGATGTCAGTAGTTATCTGAAAAATCATGAGGTGTTTTTTTGTTCCCCTTATCTAAAATGTAGACCCACTCCTCAATCATGAGATTTAAAAAAAAATCAGCTAACAAGCATTTATTTTCTTTTGTTTCCCTCCACCCCCCCCCAAAAAAGAGAAAAAAAACACAAAATCCAGTAACAGATATGCATACTTAAGCAATACAGATACCCAGGAGGTGGGTAGCTGTCTTCATCATCAGTCCCCTGGAATCAGAGTAGGCTGCTTAGAGCTGGAAGGGGCTTCAGAAAGCATTTTAGTCCAATCCCCTCATTTTACATGTAGGGAGACTGAGGACAGATAGGTCACATTGGTCGTAAGAGACAGAGCTGGGATTCCAGCCCAGATCCAAATTCATTGCCCTTTCTACAGGACCAGGGTACCATCTCTCTTTGCCTCTATCAGCACATGACTGCATGCACGTAGCATCTGTGTATTTTTATGTATGGAGAAGGATTCCAAGAGCTTAAGAAGGGAGGCAAAGTCCTACTGGAGGTGTGGCCTCCCTGACACCTAGGGCCTGGGAGTGACCATTTAAATAAAAGGGGGTGGGGCAGAGATGCCAGTAGAATGCCCCACCAGCATCTGTGGCTGGTACAGGCTCAGAGCCCGCCCACTGCTGCCACGGTCCCAGGGGCCTGACTCACCCTTGGTGTGGCACTGACCTATAATTTTCCTGGCGTCTTGCATTAAGGAAGCATTGAAATGGGTTGTTCCCACAAACCCAGGGAGGCTGCCTAGGCCTCTGGAGAGGCTGGTCCTCTCCATTCATTGGCTGGGGAGTAACCCTAGCCAGCAGTCCTTGGCTTGGGGGTCTCTCTTAACACTCCCTGGCTTTAGGACTCATGGCATCTTCCTCTCTGTGACGTTGGAGGGGGGTGGCTTTTCCAAAGTCCTCATCCATTGACCACTAATTATTTACTTTTGTGTCTTTCAGGAGGTGGCCAGCTCTGTGTACTTGGTTATGGAGGTGAGCCCTCTGGTCCTGGTCCAGTTGCAGTGGGAGAAAAGAGCTCTAAATGAAACTGAGCGTCTTCTGAGATCAGGAGGAGCTGTCAGGATGGCATCAGCTCAGATCTGGGAGGGCCCTGGGAGCATAGAATGTCAGAGTAGGGAGGAGCCTTAGACCCCAGAATGTCAGAGCTGGGAGGGCCCTTAGAACACAATGTCAGGGCTGGGAGGGCCCTTA